GGAAAACCTGGAATTCAAGAACGGGCAGTTCTACCACTCGTGGGGGAGTAAGCATCAGAAGGGAGCCGTGTTGGCAAGCTACCTGCACAGAATCGATAGCAACACAACTATTCAATCGGAAAGTCCATGGAGAGTTTACGCGCCGAGCATGGAGATGAAAAGAAAGAGTTTCCCCGAGCAGTTCTTGCGAAGGACTTTGAAGAGGTTCAGTGTAGGAAAGGAGGGGATTTGGCAGACGACCAGGAAGTGGATGTGTGATGAAATGTAATGGAGTAGTATGCAGTAGGGTGGGAGAACGATGGCGGCAGGGGTCTGTTATCGCCCGTTGATAAAGGTTTCGATGTATGACTATATGTGTTTGCATTTGAGTGTCAGTTTTGAGTGTTGTGATGATAGCGTAGGAATGTTGGAATCTCCAGTTGGCAGTTCGCATTTTTGTTGTTTCCATGTTGTTGTGTAATGCGAACTTTGGTTTCAGCTACGTCTCATGGTTGACAGTATGTAATGGGAACCGACACGTGGTATGAGGTAGTTATGATGTTAGCCAGACTAGTGTCGGAAGTAAGTGTGAGAGATTGGGATAAGGTGTAGTGCTGTATGGTGTTTCTCAGACATGCAGAGAAGGATCGGGATAGGGTGCAGTGCTGTATGGTGTTGGTCAGACTGGTGTCTGAAGCTAGTGTGAATGGATGTTAGCCATAGGGTCCAGTTCTCGAACTGTACGTTCATTGAGGAACAACGGTTCAAACCCAGGACCTTGAGTCCGATATCTGGGTTTTTTAATGTAGGGACTACGTTTCGAACTTGTTCGACAGCTAAGCGATTTCTGTCCGGTCCAGGAAGGGGCCGGGGTCCGCGTCTAGGTCGGCCATAGACAGCAATAGGACAGAGAGGGGAACAGTATGTAGAGCCACAGACAGCAATAAGACAGAGAGGGGAAAAGTAAGTAGAAGTATAAGTACAGTAATAATGACTTCAGTAGTTTTTGGAACTCGCTTTACGGGCTCATCACTGATGGGTAACGTGGAGGCGAGCGTGGGGTTGAGGAAGGAAGGATGCTTAGGATAGGAGAAAGGGAGAAGCATGGTGTTTTTTCCCCCCTGATGAGACCGCGTGGCGGCAGTCGAAACCGGGGGTGCCAAACCCACCGGCGAAGTGAACTGTACGGTGCACTTTGGTGCACGAGAACTGGTGTATGATAATCTGTATGCTT